AATGTGAGTGTGCTTGGTTGTCTGTCTCTAAGTGTAGCCCTGTGATAGACTGGTGACCTGCCTTTGTTCTCAGTCAGCTGGGATAGACTCCAGCCCCCCATGACCCTAGTGAGGATTAAGCGGTGGATAGATAATGGATGGATGGATGCTTTATTGGCAAAAAGGTTAAAAATATTGGTGAAGCATCAAGGATAAAAAATACTATTTGTTAAGTGGAATAAAGAGCTTTTTGGTTCCAGTGGCTGAATTTATCTGTGACAACACTGTGTTTCTTTTTACTGTTTGTTTTGCCTCCAGTAAGTTCGGCTTCATCATAATGACAGATCCACAATAGTCTTCATGACAGATCCTTTGGGTGCGGTATGATGACAAAATGCTTTTGTTGGAGGTCAGTTGTCAACGAACAGTTACTCAACATGAAGGCGACACTGAAACTGCTGAAGGCTTATGAATCGGACAGACACAAAGCTGATGCTGTATGACTAGAAATCTGTCAATAATGCTCTGCAACTCAGCTATCTGTGGGTTTGTGTTCTCTAATATCTTTAGACGTGTTTGTCCTTCAGAATGTCGGTGTGGTCTCTCAGGCATCCAGGTCAAGGTGATCCTAAATGCTTAAGCAGAAGGTAACCAGACTTTTTTTCTGTCTTTCAAAATGTTTCCCCTCGCCCAAGAGTCCCCCGTAGTTATTCGAATTCCCTGTAATCTTACGACTAATGGCTCATTATTGACCCAAGACTCACAAGCGTTGAGGTGTGAATGGCTGTAAAACTGTCTGAGAACACTGTTATAAATACCTGGTAAGTGGAGTTGTAGACCCCCTCCTCTGGTTATAGATTACCTCCTCCATTCTTCTCTGAAACCACCTGTCTTTTTTGTCTAGAATGTGAACATTGTTGTCTTCAAAAGTGTCTCTTGTTGAGCTATACGTTGAGTTTTTTAGTCTCCCCTACACTGTATATAGGTCTGGGCACTCCTCGCTGCATGGGCTTCATATACAACATTGTTAAGTTTGTGTTTGGGTGCTTTATATACAGTGAACCAGCTTTTGTCTCATGCTGTGTTTGGAAAAAAAATCCTTTGAAACTCTTTTTGAAAAATCACCTTTTCCTCGTTTTTTCCCCCAAAATCTTTTTACATGATTTATTCAACGTACTTAATTTTTTTTTACTGCTAATCGTTGAACACAGCTACACTTTTGTCCATAAATAATAGGAATATCTCTCTGCAACTGCAACTCAAAGTTTCTTTTAGGACACCACTGTCCTGTAACAGAAATGTCCCATCCTCTAGTCGGGATCAGATGTCCCAGTAACCTATGGCAGGACAGAGTCCTTAAAAAGCCTCTGACTTCAGCTGCAGTGACACTCGATACCGCTGCCAACGTAAGCTATAGGGAGTATCCTTGTCTGCTCATCTTTGAGTTCCTCCAAACTTCGAGCTATTTCTATTCTGGAGAGCTCATAAAAAAAGAAATGCTCCAACATACCAAACATGTACTTTATATTTACTGGAAAGACAACTTGGGATTCACTTTGCCCACATTTGAGTGAATGTGTCACATCAGGAAAACACATCAATCTAATAGTCTTTTTGTATTACAGCACATGTCAGTTACCGTCAGATCATGTTTAATGTAAATATGAGTGATGTTTACATGCAGGGTGTTTGTGCAGACATCCACATTAGAATCAAAGTTGAGACTACATAGAACCATGTAACCATGACAAAAAATAAAATAACAAGAATTAGAATACATGATAAATCATAGATAGCAAATCCTCTCTTCTCCCCAGCAGACACTACTTCGGTCATTTTTTTATGAGAAAGAAACACCCTTTACTCTGCTACAGTTAAACATCAATAACACACAATATAAGACAGTGAAGTACAGTGCTCTTTTGATCCAAATACATGATTGCATTTGCTGCATTTTAGTATCATGAATCACTGCGATAAGTTTAACCCATATAGACATGCATAAAGCTCCTCTAATGCAGTGCTGAAGTTAAGTAGAAGAAATAGGATCTATATACTGTATAGTTTTGACTTAATATGTCTACTTAATTCTTTTTTTTTTTTTTTTGGTTTAACATAACTGATTTTAAAGCCATGCATGGGTTGGCACCTGGGAACATCCAGAACTTCTACATCAAGTCGACCTCTTGGACTCTTAGATCCTCAGAACAGCTGCTGTTTAATGATCCACCATCGAGGCTGGTAGATGAGGGAGAACAAGATTCTGTGGCAGCAGCTCCAAAGCTTTGGAACAGTCTTAGAATTTCAATGTGGACATGTTTTCAGTTGCTTATGGCTGCTCTTACAAACTGTCGTCTATATTTATCTTATTTAATGTCCTATAAAATGTAGCACAGCCCTTCAGTTAACTCGGGTTGTTTTGAGACATGCTGTATTAATAACCTTGATTTGATTTAGTTTGATGGAATAACAACAGCATTCGTTGTGTCCGTGACCTTTTTAAAGGTTGCAGCTCTCAGAGCATATCTGTAGTTACAGTTTCAAAATTTTGCGACAGTTTAAGTTTGGAATTTAAATACCAAACGTGGCGAGGACAATAGGAGGAAGATAGAATTAAGGGCAACAACATCAAATGGGGAATTACAACCATGGAAACCTTTAAAAGCTTTATTATGGTGTAAAAAACAAACAAACTACTAAACAAGGCACAAAGAGCTATTACTGATATAAGACGGTGGCATTTTCACAATAAATGAAGTATTGAAACAGGAACCTGAGCTGGTAGTAGGTGAAAGAGACATAACCGGCAAATGGAAATTGCTAAACAATGAGGGAAGTTTTATTTATTACACTCAAGAAATCCTCAATACAACATCTCAAACCACATACAGATGCTGAAATATTTAAAATAATCAGTTCAACACAACACAGACAAAACTAAACACAATGAGCTGAGCCACTTAGAGAGGCACATTGACTGAGGAGTGTCCAAGGGTGCAACTACTTGCTCACCTCACACAACAATATACTCACAACATAATGGTGCTCCAGCATGGGGGCCTCGCCAATGGCTCACAAGATGGTCGCCTGCATCATGGAAACAGAACAATAGAAATGAAGCCACCCAGTTGGTTCAGCAACAAAGGAATCACAACTCAGCTATAAAATCAACACAAGGAACCAAGCAGGGGTCGTAAAACAGCAGCAGGTGAATACACAAAAGGGAGGGAATGATTTTATTTTATCTTGTGTACTCTACTACTACGGGACAAAGGATCACTTTAAATGGTGGCCAAACAAGCAGCAGTCACTATGGAGGCAGAATAAAGAGCAAACTGGTGCATGAGGATCTCTTTATTCACATACCTGCAACTTTAAAATCCAGCCACCTTAGAATCAAGGGAGAAAAAGGGGGTCTTATAAAGTCAGGCTCTGATTGGAACATGAGAAGTCAGAATTGTGGCTGCGTTCACTCAAGGGACATATTTGATGGACATGCTCACCCAACCACACTGACATTTATTAGATTTTTTTTGGAGGGAAAAAGTTTGCAAGTGACGCGACAGTAACGTCCGCTTTACGGCTTCCCTCTACCGACTTGCCCAGTTGCCTCGCAACAGGCGGTAGGCGGGGCCAGCGGTCGGCAGAGCAGAGGAGGCGGCGGGCGGAGCTTCTTGTTCCCCGGCAGCAGGAGGAGGGACGCGGGGGGAAGGAGTCTTCAAACGCCGGCAGAGGTGGAAGCGGGTGTTGCGGTGAAAGTGCGAGCCGAAGACGAGCCAGTAAAGCCCCTTTTTGTTTTTTCTGCGACTCGGTACACGACGGGAGAAAATGTCTACCGTCAACTGGAAGCCCTTTGTGTTCGGCGGGCTGGCTTCGATGACGGCGGAGTGCGGTGAGTGATGCGCGGAGAGGCTGCGAGGCCGAGCCCCGTGGATTACTGTTAATGATCTAAATCCTGACCGCAGTGTTTTAAAAGCAGGTGTGCGGTGATTTGTGTTGCAGGGACATTTCCCATCGACCTCGCCAAGACGCGTCTTCAAGTCCAGGGCCAGGTGGGCGACATTAAATACCGAGAGATCCGCTACAGAGGCATGCTCCATGCCATGATGAGGATAGGACGAGAGGAGGGACTCCGGGCTTTGTACTCCGGGTCGGTGTGCTGGGTGTCTGTGTCTGTGGACCCCTCAGTCTTATAGTAAAACCCCTAACTGAAGTATTGTACTCAGGTTTTCAGTAAATCCCCTGTTTACTTCTTCTAAATGTTTGCACTTCCTGTTTTTTTGTACACTTCTCATTTTCCTATCAGCCATTGTCCCACCTCCAACCCCCTGTGAACTCCTCTTCTCAATGAAGGGAGTCTGTCTAAGATTAGCCAGCATCAGTGTTTTATTTTTTTACCATATGCTGTGACTTTTGAAAGATTTTTCCCCTTGTTCTGCAAAGCCCACCGAGATATTGAGGAACCGTGTTGTAAAAATGATCTCCTTACAGAATCGCTCCTGCCATCCTGCGCCAGGCCTCCTACGGGACCATAAAAATTGGAACATACCAGAGTTTGAAGCGGCTGCTGGTTGACAGACCAGAGGGTGAGTGAAACACTAACATATCTGCAGGCTGTTGTCCCTGGCCACCGGTCAACACATGCACATTCCTCCCTGAAGGTCACAGGAGAAGCACAGATGTGTGTGAGTGTGACCCACTTCAAAACGCCTCCACGTTTTCTCACACTAAAAGCTCATTGGGACCGTCGCTTCTTCTGGAAAAAAATACTGTATAATCAAAGCGACTGGTATCAAATGCTGCCCGTTCGCACTTACAGTCTGCCTCCCACTCTTCTCTTCTTTCAGATGAGACTCTGCTGACTAATGTGGCGTGTGGTGTTCTCTCGGGGGTCATCTCCTCCTCCATCGCCAACCCCACCGATGTGCTGAAGGTACTTGTTTGCACACGTGAAGACTGTCTTAGATCTGGCTGTTGTTCTAATAAACCTGCGGTCTGAAGTGGTTGAGCAGGTCTTGCGGTTCCTTGCAATGCAAAGATGCACACAGAAATGTTTCCCAGCAGTCTTCTTTTACTTTCGGGTGGCTTTGTTGCACGGCTGCACTCGCTAATTGTACCGTCAACATTCTTTTAAAATTATGTGGGATTATTTTGCCCTTTCCAGAAAAGTGTAAAGCAGCTCCAGGCTATGGGTGTGGTCTTTTTGTAGCATGCACAGGGGATTGATGGGCATGTTGGTGCCATCAAAACACCACTTGTGGATTATTTATAGACCAGAGCTGTAACATAGTGTTCTGTATATGATACGGGTGCTTAACTGTACTCGCAGTGTCCCGCCCGGCTTCTTTTTGATATGCCTTGCTGGTCGTAAGGACCTCCCGTCTGCAGCGTTTGTTTGTTAGCAAACTAACACACGCGACTGCAGATTTGGAACATTGCGTTTTCATCACGCCGTGTTCTTGTTGCTCTGGCCAAGTCACCACAGAGCCAGGAAACTAACCGAGGCTGATTTGCTAACAGCAGCCGCAATAAATGAAAACAAGTCGAGTACGAGCAGAAGAATTCCAGAAATCAGGGACAGAGAAAATACTCCAGAGCACTGAGCTTGCCAAAATTTTTGACTCTGCATTCCAGTGAGAGCCCAAATAATACACCCAAGTACTTGACTTTTGTGCAGCTGCAGCATTCCATGCTGTTTGTGTACGCTTCCAGTTGAAGTTTGTCGACAACCACCTCTGTCTGTTCTCCCAGATCCGTATGCAGGCTCAGGGAAATGTGATCCAGGGCAGCATGATGGGCAACTTTATCAACATCTACCAGGAGGAGGGAACAAGAGGGCTGTGGAAGGTACACAAAACTGAGAAGAAAACTGCTTCTTTTGTTTTCTGGTAGCACAAAAACAAAACCGAAATCATGCAATCGTTCCTTTCGCTTTCTCTGCATCAGGGCGTCTCTCTAACAGCTCAAAGGGCAGCTATCGTGGTCGGAGTGGAGCTGCCGGTTTATGACATCACCAAGAAGCATCTGATCATGTCGGGTTACATGGGGGACACCGTGTACACACACTTCCTGTGAGTTTGACAACCTGGAGATCTTCCATATGACTCCCATGTGATGTGATGTTTTCGCCAGAAGGGAAAGGTTTATTTTAATATATCCAGATGGATCCAGGCCAGAAAAGGAAAATGAAAAGCAGACGCATAGTTTGAAAGGCCAGGAGCACATTTCCAATCATAAAGTCACAGTGGTTTGAACAAATGAAGGAACCTCATTGTCCAACACATACAGTATGTTTGTAACATGACAAAATCCTAAAATTACAAAACAGATGAAACTAAAACTCATTCCTTACGGAAGTGTTTTCTTCTTGTAATTCTGAAAACTGTCAGCTACTGTACTGTAGACGTTACTCAGCATCCACCTCAAACAATCATATTAAATTAAAGAGTTCATTTGCAGAAACAGATAACTCCGTCTTCACAAACCTTCAGACTTCTCCATCGTCTACCTGAGACGATATCAATCAAACTTAAGTTATCTCTATTTTTGTCATTTCTACTGAGTCAAATCCACTCAGCTTCAGTTTGATTGATATTATCTCAAGCAAGTTTTTTGTTTTTGCAAATGAGCTCTTCAATTCTAGATGTCTGAGCAGTGCTGTTAAGTTTCTATGTCAGCCTACAACAGCCTAATTCATTGTGTATATTTATAGCAGCAACTGACATGAGGGTATTTGGATGTGATCTGAGCTGTTGTCTGTTTTATATTTGTGGTAGCTGCACACACACCACAGTGATGACACTCAAACACTTATCAACGTGTTCTCTTGTGGTCCCCAGGTCCAGCTTTGTATGCGGTCTGGCGGGAGCTCTGGCCTCGAATCCAGTGGATGTTGTCCGGACACGTATGATGAACCAGAGAGGAGGAGCGCTGTACCAGGGAACACTGGACTGTCTGCTGCAGGTCAGTCAGAACTCCTGAATGAAGACCTTTTACAGATGTTTCTGTTCAGATAGATATCAACTAAATCACCGCTTGTTATCTACTTATCATGTGAGCTACTCTTCAACACATACAAAGTTATGTAACGCCTAAAATGTGAGAGCATACACCCTTAATGAGAATGTGTGCGAGACGGGTGACCTGATAGCGGAGTATTTAGGGCACGTACCACATGTGTGCAGCTGCCTTCAGTCAGTGAGTCTGATTCCCAAATGATCTGAACTCTGACTTAATTTCAGTGCACTTCTCTTTTTTCCGGTCTTTCTTCACTGTCACCATCTCATAAATGCAAAAATGCCAAAAATATAGTCTTTACAAAGGTGTGCTAGGTAGGGTGGGGTAGCATGATGGGACTTGTTGCATTCTGGGAGATTTTGGCTGTCAAGTGGGCCGTCCACCTTGAACCTGCTGTAGTTATTAGTGGCTCTTAGAGGTGAACAACTGACACAAAGTTGTTGTTTTTTGGTTTTAACTTGTTTACATGTCCATGTGGTGTTTTTGTGTGCTAGAAGGCACGTTTTGAGCAACACTAGCGGTCAACACTGTGGTTGAGTATTTCAGCCAGACCTTTCCGAGCTTCAAAACCTGCTAACAGGTTTGAGGAACTGCAGCATGGGACTAGGGACTAGTCAGGAACTAATCCTGTCCAGGGCTCCAGACTAGCTTTTTCACCAGTGCGACCAACCTTGTCACAGGCAAAGATATGACTTGCTGGATATTTTCTTATCAATATTCTCTACAATTTACCAATGTTATCTAAACACCTCACATAGCAGCAGGCTGTTGTAGCTGCTGTTGGTATGTTTGGCGTGTTCACACAGGTGTGAGACCACAAATGGCTTAAAAAGGAGTTAACCAGGGCGTTCCGATGTCAGATTTGTCCAAAATGAAACCGTGTGATTTTTATTTTTATTTTTTTACATGCGCCTTTTTCTATGAGCGGAAAAACACAGCGAATGCAGGTGTGCTCTGTTTTTCACAAGAAGACCTCATTTTTAAGCGTGAATACTGCAGTATACCGACATTAAAAAAGTTCTACTTTCCACCACTTTGGTTAGCGCAGTAGCTGCCTACGCCGGTTACAGCGACACCAACACAGCCTAATGATCATCATGCACTCACACCGATGCGACTGCTTGAAATTTTAACTCGCACAGTCTCACAAAAAAGGTCGCAGTCTGGCTTTCTGTATGATTGTTCTCCCTCAGATTCAGTTTCTGGTACAACATGTATGGTTAAATTACTCTGCTGTAGCAGCTTGCTATTAGTAGAAGTCGTTTTACAGAGTTTGAGCAGAGTCATAGATGAGCTGGTGTGCTCGAGCGACAACAAAAAGCGTAGGGATGAGTGTGGAGAGAGGCAGGGACTCCATATGCCTGCATGTTCTAAAGGAGCTGACTGTGTAGCGTTTCATCTAAGAATCTTTAAGGCAATACAAGAGAAAACTTCTAAACTTTGATACACAGTGATGAGTTTTTACGGGTTAAATCGATAACGTTAGTAATACGTTAATGATTGATATTTATAGTCCCATAAAGATGAGTGTCTATGTTTTATTTTTTGCCTCCTGTGATAAGAAATGATTAATATAGTGAGGTAATATGGCATATCTGCAGCAAACCCTTACGTCACTGATTTCCCAATCCCAGTTAAACGTACCCAGAGAGGACTTTAAAACGATCGTACGAGGATAATGAGATAAAATGGGTTTTACCGTGTTTGTTTTTTCCTCTTTCAGACGTGGCGCTCCGAGGGCTTCATGGCCCTCTACAAAGGGTTCTTTCCCAACTGGCTCCGCCTGGGACCGTGGAACATCATTGTATCCTTTCAACCATCTCATTAATGCTCCGGTCTGTTTACTTATATCCTGTGTGATGCAACATCTCCTGAGCCGGAGAAATCAGCGGGGGAAAGTAGTAAATTCTGTTATGTATTCAGTGGCGTATGGCATTCTAAGGTATTCTTTCGAGGAGGAAAGCTTAGTTTAATGCCGGCTAACTCTTTTATGTAAGTTTGTGAAACTACTGCCTCATTACCCCACTGCCTGCTGTTGGAGGGGGTGTAGGAGGCCCTCTGTGGGGGGTATGAGGAGGAGGGAAGTGTGTGCAGAGTGAACTTTATGAAAGGCTTTCTGCAAAGGCTGAGATCTGATTAAAGATGATTGAGCAGGGGAAAGCGCGGCTGGCAGATACTCCACCCAGGCCTGAGAGATGTAATGAGATTATTGACTTGTTGCAGCAGAAGAGGCCGCGGTAACAAGGCGAAGTAACAAGGGAGGCTTTGAGCTCAAGTACGAAAAGAGCCAAAATTCCTCCGTGTGCCTCCCATTCTGCTGCACAGAATTTTCCACTCCTGTTTTTTCGCCTGCTTTCCTTAACTCCATTTCTCAGTTCTTCCTCACATACGAACAGCTGAAGAAGATCGACGTGTGATGAGCAGAACGGCGCCGCGAGACACGTATGAAGAAAAAAAAAGCTCCAAGATGAGCCGATTGGACCAAAATCAGGAATGGCTGGATGGTGGTGGATCCTTGATGGAACCAACGCGGGGGAAGGGGGGTGCACAAATGTGGACCTGTGTTAAGGGATGGCAAGAGAATCCGCCTGCTTCCTGTTTGGGCTGTATGTCTCCTGAAGCCTATGGCAAGTGTGGAAGAGTCTGTGACACACAAACACTCATCTTTGATGTTGTAACTCATCTAAATCCTACTTTCGGCTTTACCGCTCAACCATTGGCCGCTCATGTCACCTAATTTATTCACTGTGAAATTGGAGCGAATTTCAGGATGCAGCTTGTTTATTTCAGTCGGAGGGCTGCTTTAAAGACGGCTCTAATGTCACGAGGAAAACCAAACACACGAGCGTTTTCAGGCGTCTGCATTTAAAATCGAGTGCCTTAGTCTGCGAGGCGGGCTGTCTGAGGACGCAGAATGTTGGATAGCAGCCGACAATCGCCGTGATCATTCCCTTTTTGAAAAGATGAAAAGAAAACAAAGATGTTTGTGTGCATGAATGGACAAAGTTAGTGCTTTTTTTTTGTTGGTTGATTTTTGTTTGTTTTTTTATACATGTTTCTAAATTGAGAGATGGGTGTGAGGAAAGATGGAGTATTTAAAAAGCAAAGAGCCAAGAATACATCCTTGTGTACTGTAATAAGTTATTGAAACAGAAAAAACAGTGCTGGTGCTTTGACAGGACACACACACACACACACACACACCACATGTCCATATGTGGTGGGACGACTGGTCCCTCAAGTGTTGACAGTAAATATAACCTCAGGCAGCTGCAGCTTGACGCTGCACTCCCTGCCTTCTTATGTTATCATATAGGTTGCTGTAAGGTGTTACGTAAACCTACATATTATATTTCCACACACTCCTACTTTTAGACCCCTTAGGTGCTTCATTTTATTGCTCAAGGGCGCTATAGCCACTGCACATGATCCACAGCTATATTTTCATATAATGTATTTGCACGCTTATAAGTGAGCTTTCGTTGTAAGGACTGATTTCGTTGCTGGCTGTCGTGTGTGAGCTGTTGCTGCTGCCAAAGTGTAAGCCAGTGTACTTTTGTTAAACTTGATGTAAAATGCTGCTGTTGTTCTGTATATATTTGAAATTAAAGGGGGATAAAAAAAAAGGTCCACAGTGTTTTTCCTCTCAGGCGCCACAGTGGGGCGCTGTGGAGCCGTGCACTCAGCTCGACCCAGTTGAAAACACCAATAGCTGTTTATGAGTCTTTTCAAATTCCCAGCCTTCAACTTCGAGGCCACAGAATCTAGCACAGTGGTGTTTCTCGGGGATCGCCCGGTTTCTTTCAAACACACACATGTTCGTGCGGCATCCCACAAAACTTATGAATTTTTCAGGGGGACTCTAAGATGTAATTGTTTTATTTCTGCGGGTAAATTCCCAGTTTTCCGTCATCGGAGCTGTTTGAGGAGGCGATGGGAGCTCAGGGGAGCGCAGAGGGAAGCGTTGCAGTGAACTGGCAGAGTCTCTGTGCGGATCTGTGCCTCGCTGTTTTATTTAGGGACTGCCACCATGGGACTTATTACTTGTGCGAGAACTGTTATTGTTGTATCTGCTTCATCTGAGCCACCATGAGTTGCATTGCCACATTATTGTTGGTGTGACAAGCATGGCTGCGTGGAATAACTCAATTCCCAAGCAACGCCACAGAGCCTGACGGAGGAGCTGGTTTTACCGTTCGTGTACAGTGTGTACGGCACCGGTTTGCAAAACCAGCTGACTTCTAGGTCAACCCAAGGCAGAAGAACGAGCCCTACTGTCCATTAGGCGAGTAGGGGAAAAAAAAGGGGAATAATGTGTGGCTTGTGCCAGGCTTTGGCATCTGTAAGTTGGCGTTATAGCCTGCAGCCTGGCATCACGTCCCTGGCACAGTTCTCTACAAGCTGGACAAGTACGGCCACGGGGGATTCCAGCAGTCACAGACATGCTACATTATGGGTATTATTTGCTGCCTGGCCCAAGGGCGCAGGGGGGTTGGCTCCATTGTGTTCCAGGGATCAGAGCGAGCTTTTGTGTCGGAGGGATAAGGCTGCACTCCGCTCCAAACACCCTGCCCTTTCTCTCTCCTTCTTTTTTTGTTCTTCGCTCAGATGAAAACTGCTGCAACACACCGATGAATAAATGGCCGGATAATGGACGAGCGGATGGAAATGTAGACAAGCAGACAAATCTATCGCAGTCTGTTGATCCGTTTGGAACAAGGGACTGTGCTGCTTCCATACTGTACAGTGCTGACAAAGAAAAAAAAAAATCACAGGCCTATTGCAATTTCTTTTTCTTCTCAGAATTGCAGTTGAGATATGGGACATGAAGGGTTTTCTTGATGCTCATAAAATGCCTGGATGCTTAGTTTGAGTAAAATGAATGATTTTTCCCTCCTGAAAATACATTGTTTGCGGGCCACAAAGTCGGCATAACATCAAAATGTCTCGCTTAGGAGGCTGTCTGAAACATCTTTGTCCCGGAGAAGAAGAAGAAAAAAAAAAAGTGCAGCATGTGTAATTTGAAATTGTGCCTGTAGTAAATATTTTGATAAATTGCTGCTGCTACGCCAGGCCCGTGAAGAACAAGCTGACAAAGTGAGGATTTCAGACAGGAGACGGCAATAGATCCTGTAAAGATGTCAAACGATGCTTTAGGAGCTCTTTTCCCTGTGAAACAACAAAGATAATTCTATAGTATATTTCAGGAGGAGAAAACTCGCAGCAAGGCGCTGCAGGAAAAAGGCTGGAAGATAATAAAAAAATATACAGCGATAGGTTGACATTCTGGGAAATAGACCCATTTCCTACAGAAAATTCTATGATTTATGCCACTTTCATGCCTGCACATTAAATATGTAGCTGGAGCCAGCAGCTGGTTTGATCAGAATAGAAACATTAAACTGTAGAAAATCAGAAAAAATGTGTGAAAACAATTCACTGGTTTCCAGTAAGTTACACAAAAGACTGGTTTTTTTTGGTTGAACAAGAAAAAATGCAATTTATAGTAAACCCTCAGGCAACACTTTAATTAGTGTTTTCGCCTCGGATAGATACAGTGCTGATGGTTTCCAGTGTTTTTAGTCTCGATGCTAAGCTAAGCTAGCCAGCTGTTGACTGTAATATTCGGTTTATGGACATGAGACTGGTATTAATTAGTCATTGTATCAGATTGTCATGACATGATCATTGTGGTGAAAACAATTCAGAAATTCGTCTTTGTTTCTTAATTGGCTAAAGAATTACACTCAAAATGCAAGTGTCTGGGGGCTGCAAGGTGGCTCGGTTGTTAGCATCGTTGCAAGAAGGTCGCCGGTTCACTTCCCAGTGAGGACACCCGGGATCTTTCTGTGTGGAGTCTCCATGTTCTCCTCGTGCAGCGTGGGTTCTCTCCGGGTTCTCCGGCTTCCTCCCACAGTCCAAAACATGCTGAGGGTAACTGGTGATTCTAAATTGTCCGTAGGTGTGAATGTGAGTGTGCTTGGTTGTCTGTCTCTAAGTGTAGCCCTGTGATAGACTGGTTACCTGTCCAGGTGAACCTGCCTTCACCCTGAGTCAGCTGGGATAGACTCCAGCCCCCCATGACCCTAGTGAGGATTAAGCGGTGTGTAGATAATGGATGGATGGATGGATGCAAGTGTATGGGGGTGAAGAGGGAGTCTGTAACTGCGCTGGGCTATTTACGATAATATTGTGTACTATTAACACAATGTCAACATTTTTTGAGTATCACAGTTAATGTCAGTACTAGTTTATCACAGCACTCCTTGTATTAATATCCTCATCTAACTATGGCGCTGAAGCAAAGAAGCGTATCTACTAAAATGTTGATTTCTTGTCCCTGCCATGAAAGAGATTTCTATTTAAATTTAATAAGAACAAACTCTCCAGTCATTTGATTAAACCCATAAAAACTCTGTGTATCAAAGGCTCTTATTTAGAAGACATTTCTTTATCAAAAACAATCATCTACACACTACAGGAGTTTTAAAATCCTGGGAGAGTTTGAAATCAGTTTGCATTACCAATGGAAGGAGAAGTTTCCCAGATATCCTTCTCTCTAATCACTGACATCCTCACGTTACAAGATGTGAAAATAATCGTGTATCACACACTGCAGGGGTTAAAAAGGTCTCAAAAGGCCATGATCGTGACTGCTAAATGCTAAATTCAAACCATAGCCCACAAGGCGAAGAAAGCCATCACGATCATGATGTCCGCAAGTTCGGAAACTCTTCTGCAACTCGAACTTGCCGCGATGCTGCAGAGGACAAAGCGACATATAGAAAATGGATGGATGGATGTTTGAACCAGAAATTAATTCTGAAGAAGAATACAGAAACCCCTGCACTGAAAGTTGACCGAATTGGCTTCTTAAATGTGTTATATATGAAACTTGGAAGTCCTTATCCTATCCTTATTTGTGACATAAAATGTCATGTCAGAGTCGGAATCCAAGGCTGTCGGTATGTTAAGGCTGTTTTTAATGGGTTCCGTTTGTTTTTCCTAAAAACCTGTCGGATAGCAAGGTTTAGGATTGTTAAGAGTAGAATTATCGAATCATGACTGTACTTGGAAACGTGAACGAACTCGCAAAAAAAATCAGATTTCACAAAAAAATCCAAATTGAGCATTAAGTGCTGCAGTCTGAACGTAGCCTAAGTCAAATCCTTCTGTATGTCGTGATTTCTTTGTAAAACCTGTATACGTTGCATTTAGTCACATTTTGTTTTTACGCAAAATTTGCCACCATCTGCAAGTCAAAAACTTCGCTGTGATATTTAGATTCTTCCTTAAACTTTTTTTATTTTCTGTTTTTTCCGCTCACATTTTTATAAACAAATTAAAAATGCACATAAAAGCAGTTGGATGTGGAAATGCACTTTACCAGTTCCCACTGTTGCAGCATCTCAACGCTGCAATTTAGTCGGTTGGCTGTCTATCATCATAAATAAGACACAACTGGTGAAAGGTGCCTCTGGTTCTCGTCTGTTACACCCATTAACATGCTCAAGTGCCTGAAGTCGGCAATCCATGTTGACTGAAACTCCTCATCCAAACAAACAACAGGCCCGCTAAATCACAGTGCAGTCGACCTACATTTACACACCACTGGAAGGGGACTGGGACCCCAGGGAGACAGGATCACAAGGATGAGCCGCTGGTAATGCTGCTCCATTGTTCCGTTAAGATGGGAACAGGCCAACAGAGTGAATGTTAAAGGAGATAAAGTGAGGCGAGATTTGTTCCACATGCTTTCTTCTTTCACTCTACGGCTCCAAGAGTCAGGCAAAGTTAAGTTGTGTCACTTATGGCGCCTCTTTAATACACTTTGACATCTGTATGAAAGTTAGATGACCTTTCTCTGCTGTTCTTGCAGAGATTTAGATAAGAAGATTAAGAAGTTTGGGCGTTAATATGAAGCGACAGCTGGTAGACTGTTAGCTTAGCATAAAGCCGGAAACGAGGAGACAATTGGACGAACCCTCCACGATGTCACCCACAGGTTTCCTGATCAGCTGTTTTGAAGTCCTGCAAGTTGACCGGACCACGTTTGTAGAGGGACGTCTTGATCCAGATCAAGGCAACTTTTAACTGCTGGGTCTGGTTTGGAAGATTTGTCTCGATGACTTCCCTGCCTTGTCCGTCGATGTGGCAGTTTGGGGGGGATAGTCAAAGGAAATGCACTGGCTGTCGCATGTTGTCAATACTCTCCAGTCACATTTATCATGGTTAGTGTCATGTTGTTTCCCAGAGGGGGTTTGGTTTCTGACTTTTTTCCGTTTCGTTTGGGTTTTGTTCTGACTTGTGCCCTTGAATAGAGATCGTGGTCTCCTTTTGGGCCTTTGAAGTTTGTCTTGTTTTCTTTTTTTCTTCAATAGTTGATTAATCCATTTTTTCCCTTTTTTTCTGGGTTAAAATCTTCACTAATCATTTGTTTCCGTCTCTTGTCAGGTGTTGTGAACAAGGGTAGTTTTTTTTTTGACATATGCAGCATTATTAATAATTAATTGATAAACTTGTAGTGCAAATAGTGCATACTGGACATGTGTCCTATTTTTATATCGCTGTTTGAAGCAATGGACACCTAATATGTCCAGAAAGGCAGTCACATAGGAGGTGTGTC